GATTTCTGATGCTTGCATTTGGGAGGTATTCAGAGCGCCAACAAAGCATTCAGAAAGGTTTTCAAACACCCCTAAGGGCTTGGTGACCAAGTCAACATCTACTACACCTTTACTTGTAAGGGTAGTAGGATTGTTGGTAGTACTGCACATATTTTACAACACGGGGAAAATACATTAAAGGGTCAAAGAACCAGCAAACATAAATGCTCCTGCGCTTGGTGATGGACTCGATGCAGGCTACAACCACATTAAGAATGTCCTGGAACATGCACACCTTGCTGCCCGCAATAGACTGGGGAAATCCAAATATACCGAATGAGGAAAGAACAAACAGAGGGCGCACAGGCCTAGTGCATTGCCATAAAAATGTCTAATAAGAAATAAAGTAGGTGTTGTACTCACAAATGACAATAAAGTCAAGGCATGTCATAAAAGAACAGCTGGGTCAACACTGCGCTGAGTAACAGTCCGCAATAGGGAGTGTATTCATCCAATAGGCTGACGTGTTTCGAAGACTTGCCTCTTCCTCAGAGCCACCGAGGCAAGTCCTCGTCTACCTACATTTTTTATGGTAATGCACTAGGCCTGTGCGCCCTTTGCTTGTTCTTTCCTCATTCATTAAAGGGTCAAAGACCGTGGACACCCAACCAGCATACTATCATCCCCCTTTGAATGATTGAGTGCAGGTTTTTCCAGTGAAGGTTCCTATCAATCCTACAGTATACAAAGACATTTTAGACCTTTTCTGGAAGACCCATTTTTGTTCAAGCATGGCTGGGCCCCTGTGTGCAAAGCCAGCTTCATAAAGACATGGTTTGACCAGTCCGATGGAGAGGAACTTGAGTGTCCTGCACAGAGCCCTGACCTCAACTCTGCTTGAACACTTTTGAGATGAATTGGAGTGCCGATAGTGAGCGAGGTCTTCTCATCCAACAGCAGTAATCTGTTACAAAGCCTTCCCAGAAGAGTGGAGGCTGTTATGGCCACAAAGGGGGGCCAGCGCCATACTAATGGCCATGGTTTAGCATGGGATGTTCTACAAGCTCATATGTGTGATAGGTGTCCAGGAATGCTTGACAATTAAAATGTAAAATCTTTACAGAATGCCTCCTGAGGGCTTAGTTTGAAGGAGGGCATTTGTCAGCGAGGGATGCTGCATGCACTATCCAAATCACAGATGTCAAACTGGCAGTCCTCCAGCTGTTGCGAAACTACTAATAACATGCCTCTGCCTTTGGTAGTCATTATTATACAGGATTTATATGGCGCCAACAGTTTGCTCAGCGCTTTACAATATAACGGGAGACAATACAGCAACAATACAGTTCAATACAAGAGGGTTAGGAGGGCCCTGATCCTGGGAGCTTACAATCTAAGAGGGAGGGGCTAGTGGTACAAAAGGTAGTAACTGTGGGGGATGGACTGGTAGGAGGAATAGAAGATTCCAGTATTAGCTGAGGGCAGGATAGGCTTCCCTGAAGAGAGAGGTTTTCAGAGATCACCTAAAAGTGAGCAGAGTAGGCGACAGTCTGATAAATTGGGGTAGAGAGTTCCAGAGGATGGGGAAAGCTCTGGAGAAGTCCTGGAGACAAGCATGGGAGGAGGAGACAAGGGAGCTAGAGAGTAGAAGGTCGTGTGAGGAGTGGAGAGGACAGTTTGGGTGATATTTGGAGACAAGATTGGTGATGTAATTTGGGGCGGAGTTATAAATGGCTTTATAAGTTATTGTTAATGTTTTTAATTTTATATATTGGGCAACAGGAAGCCAGTGGAGGGATTGGCAGAGAGGAGTGGAGGACACTGAGTGGAAGCCAGTGGGGGGATTGGCAGAGAGGGTGGAGGACACCGAGTGGAGGCCAGTGGAGGGATTGGCAGAGAGGGATGGAGGACACTGAGTGGAGCCAGTGGAGGGATTGGCAGAGAGGGGTGGAGGACACTGAGTGGAGGCCAGTGGAGGGATTGGCAGAGAGGGGTGGAGGACACTGAATGGAGGCCAGTGGAGGGATTGGCAGAGAGGGATGGAGGACACTGAGTGGAGGCCAGTGGAGGGATTGGCAGAGAGGGGTGGAGGACACTGAATGGAGGCCAGTGGAGGGATTGGCAGAGAGGGGTGGAGGACACTGAATGGAGGCCAATGGAGGGATTGGCAGAGAGGGGCGGCAGATACAGAACGGTTAGTAAGGTGGATGAGTCTTGCAGCAGCATTCATGATGGACTGAAGAGGGGATAGCCTGCGATGAGGTCGGCCAATGAGGAGGGAGTTGCAATAATCAAGGCGAGAGATAACAAGAGAGTCATGCTTGTAACTGTCAATCTTGCAATGCCTCATGGGACTTGTAGTTTGGCAACAGCTGGAGGGCCACCAGTTTGACACCCCTGATCTAAATAGATGTGTGTTAGCATGACATCAGTCAATTTTTTTTTTCCACCAGGCGCATGTACTGGGCAATTGATCATTTGTGACTTTTGCATTTGCTGGGCTTCAGCCTTTCCCCTCCCCCCATTTTTCTCCTACCTACAATACAATAACTAAAACAATAAGTGAACAAACAAAAAAAAAAGGTATCCAATATCGTTGCTGCGGGGGGAGCGGGATGGGGAAGAGTGCTGCAGCGGGGCGAAGGTCCTCTTCAAGACATGCTTTGAACCCAATATGAACACCCATGTGTATCTAGCCTTAGACTGCAGGCTTCTTGAGTAGCAATACAATAAATTCCTCAGTTGCCTGGACCTCTGTTTGCATTTTTTATTTTGCCTTCTTTTGCATCTAGCTGGGCTAGACTAATTCATTAAAACTGTTTTTCCCCAGGATTTAAAAAAAATATCCAACCTGGGAACTCTTTAATAATTCTGACATATATACAAAAGATGAGAGTATCACGGTGAAGGGGAAAAGTGTCAAATTGCTCATTTTTTTGGCAGCAAGGGAATTTTTAGGGGCTATTTATTGAGAATGTAAAGATTTTAGTTACTGATTTAACAAGAGTACAAATAAAAAAAAGAACATATATATTATGAGATGTCTGTTCTGTATTTTAAGAGATTTCACTTCCCTTTTTTTGACAGAAGGGATTTTATAAATGAGTTGCATCAACTTCTTTACCCAGAGAGACATAAAAAAAAAAAATAATATATACATATATAACGTAAAGGGTTTGGTTTTGGGTCGGTGAAATGGTTGGATTAATATTTTAATGATGCATGTAGAAGGGAATTTTATGGCAGAAATGATTATACTGTGCAGAGCTTTGTGTGGACAGCTATAATACATATAATAAACCTTTGTCACATTGCAAACCATTGGCTCTTATGTCTTATTTAACCCCTTCACGCCTAAGGGTAAAACAAATCGCAAAGTAAAATTTTACAACTTTTGACGTGTGTTAGTAAAACCATACACATCATCACAACTACTTTGTCCTGGAACAAACAAGGTATAATTCACCTGGATGTACAAACTGGGCTTTCATTTGGTGGTAAATGGTAATGGATATCTCCTGATTTTTCTTTTATTATCAAAGGAAAACTGTCCCAAAATAGTAAAAAAAAAAATAATTTTTTTTTTTTTTTAAATTTAGCTGTGTGTTTCTTGTTACTACCATAACCTACCACTAAAGGACAACCCAAAATAAATTTTCCAGCTCCTGACGATCGCAGCGATCCCAAATATTGTGTATGTTATTTTTGTTTGTACCCGTAGGACGGCCCAGAAACAATAGTGCGCATTTTGTTTTTTGTTAACCTAAAACACACTGATGCTAATTTAAAAAAAAAAAAAAAAAAAAAAAAAAAACCTGACCTTTCACCCTGACATTGACCCAAACACTAACCCTGGCACTGACCTAGATCAAACCTTGGTCTAGGTATTTTTTCTTTATTTTTTAATATTTATGTATATATTTACTTTTTTTTTTTTTTACAAACAGTTGTTTTTTTCCCCCAGAGAGATACAATGTATCTCTCGCCTCCATTCAGAGAGAGAAATAAAACAAGGGGGGGCGGGCTTCACAGTGACTGATCACTGTGATAGCCAGTCAGAGGCTACCACAGTGATCATGTGACCCGGAATCGAGAGAGTGCTGGGTCCCGATCATTAGAATGGGACTCGGGGCTCTCAGTGACACCCCGGTCTTTGTGTTGGGAGCGCGCTGTGCGGCATGCTCCCAGCACAAAGACAGGTATGCAAATATGCGGCCCCATGGAAAAAAGCCCAGTTCTGTAAGGCAGCTTATTTGTGTTACGTCGGTGGGGGGGGGGTTAACCTGCACTCTTATATAATAAAGAAGACCTGGAGTCTGGAAGCCATGCCCAAAAAAAAACAAGCCAGGGGCAGTGGACTGGTCACCGGTATTGGTTCCCCTTCAGCTGATCTGTTAGAGTCAGGGGTCCAGCTCAGAGACAAGTAGCTATACCAGTAGAAAGGCTCCCAGTGACCAGCTGGATAAATACACAAGCAGGCTCACCTCGGTGGATGACTTGGGCTCACACAAGGTGCAGGGTCTAAGCGCTAACTGGTATTCACCAGATCTCCTAGTGGTGGAAATTGGTTTTACTGTGTGTTTAGTACCGGGTCACAATTCTCAGGATCATCCCAAGAGGAGGTGAGCAAGCTAGGGTCCAGTAGCAGATACAGCAAGTAGGGATCAAGCAGAAGTGTAGTCAGGAAACAAGCCAAAGGTCATTACCGAGAGATTGCAGGTTGGGATCAAGCACAAGCGTAGTTGAGGAATAAGCTAAAGGTCAGTAATGAATGGTTGAAGGTTTGGATGGAGTGAAAGCATAGTTGAGGAACAAAGCCAAGGTTGGTAATGAGTAATAGTGAAGATTCAGGCAGCAGCAGGAGAGACAACAGCAAGATTATGGAGATTATGGCTGGAGAAGAGCACAATAATCTGGCAAACAGGCAGTGTTAAGGCGTGGCTAAAATAGGGGGTTCATGGGAGGAGCAAGAAATTCAAGGCTCATCAGAAACAATATAAAAGGCAGGGTTGTCTAAAGGATCAGACAGAGGGGGGGGGGGGGGGGGGGGGGGGGGGGGGGGGGGGGGGGGGGGGGGGGGGGGGGGGGGGGGGGGGGGGGGGGGGGGGGGGGGGGGGGGGGGGGAGAGGGGGGGGGGGGGGGGGGGGGGGGGGGGGGGGGGGGGGGGGGGGGGGGGGGGGGGGGGGGGGGGGGGGGGGGGGGGGGGGGGGGGGGGGGGGGGGGGGGGGGGGGGGGGGGGGGGGGGGGGGGGGGGGGGGGGGGGGGGGGGGGGGGGGGGGGGGGGGGGGGGGGGGGGGGGGGGGGGGGGGGGGGGGGGGGGGGGGGGGGGGGGGGGGGGGGGGGGGGGGGGGGGGGGGGGGGGGGGGGGGGGGGGGGGGGGGGGGGGGGGGGGGGGGGGGGGGGGGGGGGGGGGGGGGGGGGGGGGGGGGGGGGGGGGGGGGGGGGGGGGGGGGGGGGGGGGGGGGGGGGGGGGGGGGGGGGGGGGGGGGGGGGGGGGGGGGGGGGGGGGGGGGGGGGGGGGGGGGGGGGGGGGGGGGGGGGGGGGGGGGGGGGGGGGGGGGGGGGGGGGGGGGGGGGGGGGGGGGGGGGGGGGGGGGGTGGGGGGGGGGGGGGGGGGGGGGGGGGGGGGGGGGGGGGGGGGGGGGGGGGGGGGGGGGGGGGGGGGGGGGGGGGGGGGGGGGGGGGGGGGGGGGGGGGGGGGGGGGGGGGGGGGGGGGGGGGGGGGGGGGGGGGGGGGGGGGGGGGGGGGGGGGGGGGGGGGGGGGGGGGGGGGGGGGGGGGGGGGGGGGGGGGGGGGGGGGGGGGGGGGGGGGGGGGGGGGGGGGGGGGGGGGGGGGGGGGGGGGGGGGGGGGGGGGGGGGGGGGGGGGGGGGGGGGGGGGGGGGGGGGGGGGGGGGGGGGGGGGGGGGGGGGGGGGGGGGGGGGGGGGGGGGGGGGGGGGGGGGGGGGGGGGGGGGGGGGGGGGGGGGGGGGGGGGGGGGGGGGGGGGGGGGGGGGGGGGGGGGGGGGGGGGGGGGGGGGGGGGGGGGGGGGGGGGGGGGGGGGGGGGGGGGGGGGGGGGGGGGGGGGGGGGGGGGGGGGGGGGGGGGGGGGGGGGGGGGGGGGGGGGGGGGGGGGGGGGGGGGGGGGGGGGGGGGGGGGGGGGGGGGGGGGGGGGGGGGGGGGGGGGGGGGGGGGGGGGGGGGGGGGGGGGGGGGGGGGGGGGGGGGGGGGGGGGGGGGGGGGGGGGGGGGGGGGGGGGGGGGGGGGGGGGGGGGGGGGGGGGGGGGGGGGGGGGGGGGGGGGGGGGGGGGGGGGGGGGGGGGGGGGGGGGGGGGGGGGGGGGGGGGGGGGGGGGGGGGGGGGGGGGGGGGGGGGGGGGGGGGGGGGGGGGGGGGGGGGGGGGGGGGGGGGGGGGGGGGGGGGGGGGGGGGGGGGGGGGGGGGGGGGGGGGGGGGGGGGGGGGGGGGGGGGGGGGGGGGGGGGGGGGGGGGGGGGGGGGGGGGGGGGGGGGGGGGGGGGGGGGGGGGGGGGGGGGGGGGGGGGGGGGGGGGGGGGGGGGGGGGGGGGGGGGGGGGGGGGGGGGGGGGGGGGGGGGGGGGGGGGGGGGGGGGGGGGGGGGGGGGGGGGGGGGGGGGGGGGGGGGGGGGGGGGGGGGGGGGGGGGGGGGGGGGGGGGGGGGGGGGGGGGGGGGGGGGGGGGGGGGGGGGGGGGGGGGGGGGGGGGGGGGGGGGGGGGGGGGGGGGGGGGGGGGGGGGGGGGGGGGGGGGGGGGGGGGGGGGGGGGGGGGGGGGGGGGGGGGGGGGGGGGGGGGGGGGGGGGGGGGGGGGGGGGGGGGGGGGGGGGGGGGGGGGGGGGGGGGGGGGGGGGGGGGGGGGGGGGGGGGGGGGGGGGGGGGGGGGGGGGGGGGGGGGGGGGGGGGGGGGGGGGGGGGGGGGGGGGGGGGGGGGGGGGGGGGGGGGGGGGGGGGGGGGGGGGGGGGGGGGGGGGGGGGGGGGGGGGGGGGGGGGGGGGGGGGGGGGGGGGGGGGGGGGGGGGGGGGGGGGGGGGGGGGGGGGGGGGGGGGGGGGGGGGGGGGGGGGGGGGGGGGGGGGGGGGGGGGGGGGGGGGGGGGGGGGGGGGGGGGGGGGGGGGGGGGGGGGGGGGGGGGGGGGGGGGGGGGGGGGGGGGGGGGGGGGGGGGGGGGGGGGGGGGGGGGGGGGGGGGGGGGGGGGGGGGGGGGGGGGGGGGGGGGGGGGGGGGGGGGGGGGGGGGGGGGGGGGGGGGGGGGGGGGGGGGGGGGGGGGGGGGGGGGGGGGGGGGGGGGGGGGGGGGGGGGGGGGGGGGGGGGGGGGGGGGGGGGGGGGGGGGGGGGGGGGGGGGGGGGGGGGGGGGGGGGGGGGGGGGGGGGGGGGGGGGGGGGGGGGGGGGGGGGGGGGGGGGGGGGGGGGGGGGGGGGGGGGGGGGGGGGGGGGGGGGGGGGGGGGGGGGGGGGGGGGGGGGGGGGGGGGGGGGGGGGGGGGGGGGGGGGGGGGGGGGGGGGGGGGGGGGGGGGGGGGGGGGGGGGGGGGGGGGGGGGGGGGGGGGGGGGGGGGGGGGGGGGGGGGGGGGGGGGGGGGGGGGGGGGGGGGGGGGGGGGGGGGGGGGGGGGGGGGGGGGGGGGGGGGGGGGGGGGGGGGGGGGGGGGGGGGGGGGGGGGGGGGGGGGGGGGGGGGGGGGGGGGGGGGGGGGGGGGGGGGGGGGGGGGGGGGGGGGGGGGGGGGGGGGGGGGGGGGGGGGGGGGGGGGGGGGGGGGGGGGGGGGGGGGGGGGGGGGGGGGGGGGGGGGGGGGGGGGGGGGGGGGGGGGGGGGGGGGGGGGGGGGGGGGGGGGGGGGGGGGGGGGGGGGGGGGGGGGGGGGGGGGGGGGGGGGGGGGGGGGGGGGGGGGGGGGGGGGGGGGGGGGGGGGGGGGGGGGGGGGGGGGGGGGGGGGGGGGGGGGGGGGGGGGGGGGGGGGGGGGGGGGGGGGGGGGGGGGGGGGGGGGGGGGGGGGGGGGGGGGGGGGGGGGGGGGGGGGGGGGGGGGGGGGGGGGGGGGGGGGGGGGGGGGGGGGGGGGGGGGGGGGGGGGGGGGGGGGGGGGGGGGGGGGGGGGGGGGGGGGGGGGGGGGGGGGGGGGGGGGGGGGGGGGGGGGGGGGGGGGGGGGGGGGGGGGGGGGGGGGGGGGGGGGGGGGGGGGGGGGGGGGGGGGGGGGGGGGGGGGGGGGGGGGGGGGGGGGGGGGGGGGGGGGGGGGGGGGGGGGGGGGGGGGGGGGGGGGGGGGGGGGGGGGGGGGGGGGGGTGCAATTTTTTTTTTACAATTGGTTTTTGTGGGCTGTGCTGAGAGCGCTCAAGTTTTTTTGCTGTGGGGTCTAGGGGGCGATTTTTAAGGGGGGGGGGGGTGCAGGGGGGTTGGGGGGGCAGTGGTGTCTAGGTGGTGCTTTTTGTGTCGGAGGCACTTTTTTTGTTTTTTTTTTTTTTTTAGTGGGGTTAGGGATGGCGCTGTGTAGGATGCGTTTTTTTGGTTTTGGTTTGGTGTCCAGGTGGCGCTTTTTGTTCCGGGGACAGTACTTTTTTTTTTTTTTTTTTTTGGGTGCGGGTTCCGGTTTTTTCGGCGGAGGCGGACATGGGGCCAGGAAGGCCGGATATTTTTGGAGCTGGAGTGAGGGATAGAACGTTTTTCGGAGTGTTTTTTGGGATCGGATTTTTTTTTTTTGTTTTTTTTTTTTTTTTTTTTTTTTTTTTTTTTTTTTTTTTTTTTTTTTTTTTTTTTTTAACATGAGGTTTTTTTTTTTTTTTTTTTTTATCATACATTTTTTTTTTTTTTTATTTTTTTTTTGTATATCCCCCTTTTTTTTTTTTTTTTTTTTTTTTTTTTTTTTTTTTTTTTTTTTTATTTTTTTTTTATATTTTTTTTTTTATTTTTTTTTTTTTTATTTTTTTTTTTTTTTTTCCCCTATTTTTGTTTTTTTTTTTTCCCCCTTTTACTGTATAGACTCCCCTGTATGTCCCCTATATACCGTTTTTTTTTTATTTTTATTTTTTATTTACCGTATGAGACTTTTTGTATGTCCCCTTTTATACCTGTATTTTCCCCTGTATATTTATATTGTATTTTTTTTTGTTTTTTTTTTTTTTTATTCCCCCTTTTTTTTTTTGCCCCTGTATTTTTTTTTTATTTTTTTTTTTTTTTTACCCCTATTTTATTTTTACTTATACTTTTTTTATACTGTATAGACTCCCCTGTATATCCCTATTTTACTGTATAGACTTGTATATTTTTTTTTTTTTTGTATATTTTCCCCTGTATGTCCCCCCTATATACTGTATTATTTTTTTTGTATATTTTATATACTGTATATACTCCCCTTTTGTTATCCCCCTATATACTGTATAGACTCCCCTATATATCCCCCTATATACTTTAGACCCCTTATTTTTTTTGTATTTCCCCCTATATACTCCCCTGTATATCCCCCTATATTTTTCCCCTGTATGTCCCCCTATATACTGTTTATTTATCCCCCTTTTTCCCCTTTATATTTTTTATTACTCCCCTGTATATCCCCCTTTATACTTTATTTGTATATCCCCCTATATACTCCCCTGTATATCCCCCTATTATTTTACTCCCCTGTATATCCCCCTATATACTATTTTTGTATTTTATCCCCCTATATTTACTGTATAGACTCCCCTGTATTTCCCCCTATATACTGTATAGACTCCCCTGTATGTCCCCCTATACTACTCCCTGTATATTCCCCTATATACTGTATAGACTCCCCTGTATGTCCCCCTATATACTGTATATTTACTCCCCTGTATATCCCCTATATACTGTATATTCCCCTGTATTCCCCCTATGTCCCCCTATATACTGTATATATTCCCCTGTATATATCCCCTGTATATACTGTATAGACTCCCCTGTATATCCCCCTATATACTGTATATATATACTCCCCTGTATGTCCCCCTTATACTATACTGTCCCCCTATATACTGTATATTCCCCTGTATGTCCCCCTATATACTGTATATTCCCCTGTATGTCCCCCTATATACTGTATAGACTCCCCTATATTCCCCTGTATGTCCCCCCTATATACTGTATATTCCCCTGTATACTGTATCTCTATAGAACTCTACACACCTCTGTGTACAGGAGATTGCATTTCCAGAGCTCTCTGTACACCTCTATATAACACCGCACCCCCCTCTGCATATACATCACTGTACAACCCCCATCTCTGTATAACAGTCTCAGTCCGGGTTCAATATTGAGTTGGCCCCGCCCTTCCCATGCACATGACCTTTAATGGCCCCCCAGTCTTAGTCCGTAGGGTTCAATATTGAGTTGGCCCCGCCCTTTGCAGCTATAACAGCTTCAACTCTTCTGGGAAGGCCGTCCACAAGGTTTAGGAGGGTGTCTATGGGAAGGTTGGACCATTCTTCCAGAAGCACATTTGTCAGGTCAGGCACTGATGTCGGGGGAGGAGGCCTGGCTCGCAGTCTCCACTGTAGTCTATATACACTATATTGCCCAAAGTATTGGCCCCGCCCTCCAAATCATGTGACTCAGGTGTTCCAATCCCCTCCATGGACACAGGTGTATACAGTCAAGCCCCTAGGCATGCAGACTGCTTCTACAAACATTGGGTGAAAGAATGGGTCGCTCTCAGGAGCTCAGTGACTCCAAGCGTGGTCCCGTGATAGGTGGCCACCTGGGCAATAAGTCCATCCGTGACATTTCCTGGCTACTAAATATTCCACGCCCAACTGTTAGTGGGATTATAACAAAGTAGAAGCCACTGGGAACAACAGCCACTCAGCCACCAAGTGGTAGGCCACGTCACATGACAGGGCGGGGTCAGCGCATGCTGAAGCGCACAGTGCGCAGAAGTCGCCAACTGTCTGCAGAGTCAATAGCTAAATACCTCCAAACTTGGTGTGGTCTTCAGATGAGCCCAACAACAGTGCGTAGAGAGCTTCATGGAATGGGTTT